CATACGTCCTATCACAGCATCAGTTGGATTCAATATACCAAAGTTGCAATGGCTTGTTTTCTCTCTGTTGTATAGCTTTAATAAAGTGCCTGATGGCAATAAAGCTGATTCAAAGCTTTGTTTACTTTTTTATGAAATATTTTATCTCATAAAACAGCCAACCCTAGCTAGCTGCACAATTTAGTATGGCCGCAGCTCCAGACGGATTTCCATATCATTATGGTCCGGGCTCCAGAACAAGAACCGCGATTGATAACAGTCAGTTACCGCAAGCGGAGACCCACAGCTCGATCCCCACTGGCCTGGAGCAATGACCCGAACCGGGTAAAAATCAAATCCAAAGGGCAATGTTTCCAACTCGGACAGGAGAAAGGATCAGGTTCTAGGACCGCTCGCTGTGATCGGTAACCCAATCGCATCGAGCGGTCCAAGAACCTGATCCTTGGACCGCCTTCCCGGGCCAGGCACAGCAGCGCTGCACAGCCTGCTATGCAGAACTGCAAACACCGCACACAGGGCTCCAACACTGACCGCCAGCCTTCACACCCCGCTGCAGCAGCACGCTGCCAACCAAACCGAGCCACTACGGAACCAATCCAAATCCCTTGATCCCCTCTTCAACCACCAAACTCTGCTTTATATTTATCCTCGTTAAAGGATAAAAAGTCCATCACAAAGGTGAATAAATATTGACTTGCTATGTAAAATGACTACTTCCTGAATAAACTGACGTCATGGCATTACTCAGTAGGTCACGTGACGAATAAGGAATATTGGGTTGTCTGCTATCTTAGTAAATGATTTTATTCTATAAACAACAAAATGCTGGACATTTTCTCACTTGTGATGCATTTAATTTTGTACATACTATCAAATTAGAAACTATGAGCTGCTGATTTGCCACAACTGATTTAAATGTTTTACATTCTTACCCAGCAATGACTCCGTAATCAAGATGCATTTGAAATGCCCGTCAGCCACATGAGCATGTCAGCAACCCAGAAATAAGTAATCAAACCCTTCCTCTAAAAATGGCTGGAAATGTTTGATGTTAAAATAAATTGAACATGATTAAAAGAGATTTTTTTCCTCCATTTTACTGTACAGTATGTCAGATTTATATCTATTAATTTGGCAATAACAAGGTCAAAAGCCATGCAAGACAGACACGGATTTTGAACATTTGGAGTAGTATACAGTCTGAGGAGAGATATATCTTTATTGTACCTTATCACTTTTAATGGGCTTTAGCATCTCAGCCGCAAAAAAATTACGTCAAGTGTTGGCATTAAAGGAATAGTACACCCAAAACATGATTAGCCTTCATTTTCTACTCACCCCCATGCTGAACAAAACTCT